AAGTTTGAATACCACTGCCCTAGTCTATTACACAGAGTGCACTACTTTAAAATGTTCATCCCCCGCTTAGGAAGGGCTCTTAAGCTTTTGTAGAGCTGGATTTTTTTAAAAACCATTCATCTAATACCAGCACTGCTATTACAAAATAAAATTTCATATTTGTAGCATTGGGGTTAGGGTTAGGGTCAGTACTTTTAACATGCTGTAACTTGAATGTGAGAGCTGCATGATATTGTAAGATGTGTAATTATCAGCACACCTACATAACTGGGATTCCCTTCATTTAAACAGCATAATACCATTTAATAAAGCAGGGGAAACAATTTAGGTATTTCCTATAACAAAGAGATTTTATAAGTGCAAAAATGTCAGTTAAAAGCATTAACCTGCATGGCGATTACTTTCAATTTGTGGTAGTATGAAAACTGCATGTTTTCTAAATCACACTTTCCAAAGATTTGCACAACAGAATGCTACTCACATCCTACTATATTCACACTGAAGTCCTGGTGCAGAATTAGCCCACGATTGCAGATTCGCTCAATTCTGCCCCCTCACTGTGCTTGGCTTTGCATCAACACATAAAAACACAGTACAGTGTAAGGTTTGCAGTTTTCTGGACAACCTAGTGGAAACAAGATTAAAACTACCTTTTTAAAAAAATAAATAAATACATTGAAAAAACTGTGGGCAAGCACCTGGCACCAAAAGTATAGCAAAGATCTCTGAACGATTGTCCAAAACAAGCCTCCATAAGAGGCTGTGGAATGAGACAAGGTAACATCCTTCTTATGCTTCTGAACCCTGTAATACACAGATGTAAACTTTACCGAAACATACATCCAATACAAAATGGAACAATGTATAACAAATCACATTCAGACTTTTATTTGAAATTAACAGCCTACCAGCATACAAACAACACTATGACTGAAACAAATCCATCAGGAATATTTGCATAGAACAGTCCTGACTATTGCACATTTAAAAAAAAAAAAAAAAAAAAAAAAGACAGATTTGTAATAAATATTGGTTTTCAACAGAAGCTTTAGGGTCTATGACAATTCAAACATTCAGATTACGTTATTCTGTACACTGCATGCCGTGTCTCGTTGCAGTGCAGTTTCCATAGATTCAGGTAGATCAGAGAAAGAAAAATGTTCCCTTTAAAGTCAGCTTTACAAAAAAGCAGATACTGATTTTTCACCCCTACAGTTAACAAGGGCATACAGCATTAGACTTATTATACAATTGCAGACAGTCTGCACAAGGCACTGCAGGTGAAGGTGAAGTGTGTATGTCTGTGTGTATCATTTTTAAATTGAGTGTGTACAGAATAGCAGGACCTCGGATGGATGGACCGCCAGGTGGTCATGGTCCCCTTCATGGTGATGATACATTGTCATTACAGTCAGACTGATGGCTGAGCTGTTCGAGCAGCTCGAGGTATAGCGCCACCCGGTGGACGAGTGGAGATGCCTTGTCAGCACGAAGAAGCCTGGAGTATATCTGCTTGTATATCTTCACTGCTTCTTCCTCTTTGGTACCACTAATAAATGGGGGGGGGGGGGACAAGCATTAACATAATCTTTGCAGCAATTCATCTGAGGTGACAATTACTGATAGTAATTTAATATTTCTGGACATGCCATTTCATGCATACTATTTACCAAAGGCTCTTTTTTATTAAATGGGGAACTTTTAATTAAACACAAGATTTTAACATGTTTACTGTATATGGGATTCAAAGAGGAGAAACTAAATTCATGTAATACATGCTACTGTAGCGAACACATGGTTCCTTGGGAAACAAAGTGAAGATACCACTGCTTAGGGTGTCAATTACGGTTATAAAATAGTCACTTTAGAATTATGGTACATAAACGACAGTGGATATAAAACCAGCCCACACAGCGTTATGTAAAAAGCCAGAAAATAAGGTAAATCACATCAGACGTTTTACATTCTTAATGTGACCTTCGAAAATTGAGAAAAAACGAATTTGCAGGATAAAACAAATTACACACACACACCTCCCCTACTAATACTTAATGGAAGCAGCTTCTGTACTCATTACAGAAGTCTTTGTGAGAAAGCTTTTATCAGCTTTGCACAACCGGGCTGTAATTTCACCCCACACCTCCCTGCAAAGGTGTTCAAGCTCTTTCGAGTTGCTGGGGGATCACCTGTGCACCCCCTTTAGTAACAGAGGGGGTGTTTGGAGGTCCAAGGGGTAAACAGCATATACCTGCCACTGAAAATCATTCATATGTTCCTGTACGACTAGAACTTTCATAGTTGCACCCAACTGTGATAGCCAAGGTCCACAAGGAGTTCACGAAGCTATCTATGGAATCTTGTTAAAAGGGACTAATCTAGAGAAGGATACAGAAGGATAGCAAAGGCACTGGAGACTGTGGAAGATACTGAAAGCTATCATCAAGATGTGGAGAAAATGTGGCGACAGGGGACAAGATCAGGGCTGCCTTCCAAGGCTGAGGTCAGGCTAAGGCTAAAACTTAGCAGCAACAATGCAGGAGCTGCAGGAATTGCTAGCAGGTATAGTCACTCCTTGTATGTGACAACAGTCTCCCATATTCTGTATGTGTTTGGGTTAGGGGTAGGGTGGCAAGATGTTTGGAAAATACATTCAAACCACCCCAAAGCATGTGGAAAATGTCTAATGATCTGATAAGACAAATGCCTGAAGCCTTAATTCCAAGAGATATTTTGCTGCAAAGATAACTTGGCTAATCACTCAAAGAACATCATGCCTACTGTAAAAGCTGAAGCTGGTATCATTTTGCCTTAGGGAAGCTTCAGTAAAGCCGGCACAGGGACTGGACTCAAGATATATGGGATATAGACTGATTCCCAAAATATTTTGGCATAAACACCTGCTGGCCTCTGTCAGAAAGTAGAAGATGAAGGAATTTCACTTTCCAATGTCATAACAACCCAAGCCACACATCCAAGTGCACTGAGGAACAGCTTCAATAAAAGACGATACGTCTGGGAAGAGCCCAGTCAGATCCCAGACCTCAATCACATATAAAACCTTTGGACCTAACAAGGACAGGTGATCCCCAGGAAATCTGAAGGAGCTTCAATTTCTTTGCATGGAAGAGTGACATAAAATGGCAAATTCCTGGTATGCAAACCTGACAGACCTATTCACAACGATTTACTGCTGTAATACACATAATAGGTGATCCCATAACCATTAGTTTGGGGGGGGGGGGAGAATTGTACACACTTGCAAGTTTTTTTTTTTTATTTTATTTTTTTTTTTAATCGATTTGATCGCTTGAAATTTGTATGGTCACAGAAAAGATGACATTTTAAAACATCTGGCTTTACCTCACAGAAACCAGCAATTGCGTGAAAATGAAAATGGGCACCTTTTTGCATCCACGTCATTGTTCTCGTACCTGGGCTTACGCTTGCTGGTTGTCATCAGCTTCACCAAGTGAAGCAGGAGAAAAGAAAAGCTAGGCTCAAAGACACCGATCAGCTTCTGCACTTCCTGTGTGCTGATGCCAGCGGAGGCGGAGCTTTCGGGCCCCGGGGTCTCACTGCCATCCCCCACTATAGTCTACAAAACAAAGACAGGGAGCGCTTGTGTTTACAAAGGGGGCTGTACTACCGGTATGCAATTAAAAGGGTGATAAAATACTGCCACATACCACTTTGCCTTCATCTAGCAGGTCTTTGTGGATGAGCTGGAAGGCATGACGTGTCTCTATCATGATCTCCAGAGCTCCTGAGAGAGTCTTCATTTTTGAGGAAGTGCTGTTCTGTCCTATGACCGAAATCATAAACCCTTGAAGAAGAAACTCAACCACCACTCATTCGCAACCTCTCAACAGGCAATACCTTAACGAGGTGTCACAAAAAAAGCGAAGTAGATCCAGTTTCTACATTGAGTCTAATGTACCTTCTACTCTTCAAATGCACGGCAGCTAAACCACACTTCACATGCGTCGCTGAATGATCCAAGTTCTGAATCACCAATGCAGCTGATATTCCGCTTGTCTTTGTCCAATCGGTGCTCACCTGCCATCTGGAACTCCGCGAAAGCCACCCTCTCCAGCTGGACCCGCAGAAGCTCACAGGGGGCGTCCCTCAGGCTGAGGAACAGCTGTACAGCTTTGCCATAGTGGAGCTCAGCCAGGGTGCGGTGCTGCTTCCTCAAGTGCTCGTTCCCCACCTGAGAAGAGCGTGATCACAGTCTGGTCGTCATGGGAGACTGCAAACAAAACAGGCGGCCATGCTTTACATTTCATATACTAGAGCTTGCCAAACTGGAGAACGAGGACCTGCAATCTGCAAACTGTGTTGCAAACTGACCCCTCCAGGACCGGAACTGGGGAACCCTGAACTAAACGCAAACCTACAGAGTATTCCAAGCATCAGACAATAACAACACATTTTGCAAGAACTCTTGGATCTGAAGAAGAGAGACTGGACAACTCGGAGCCAACAAGGGCCCCAGAGAAAAGCCCACACCTGGTTCCGGAAGCAGCTGTGGTACATGGAGGCCAGTCGGTGGTGAATGGTGGCAGCCCGGTACTGGTACAGCGGCTGGCGAGCCGACTCAGTCTGCAGGTCACAGTACTTGAGGGACTTCATCATGGCCTCTGTCACCTCCCTTTCAATCTATAAGCAAAAATATAAGAAGGCACTCCATTAGGCACACTACTATATTACGTACAATGTTATTGACTCAGACTTCAAGACGGTCATTTTGTCACCTGCTCTTGGGCCTTTCTTGACAAAGGGGCATAGTCCTGCAGCAGGGTGGCCAAGGTGAAGTACGTAGTCGAAAGCTCCCAGTTGACGGAGTCCCACACAGCTTCATGACCTTCCCTGGTGCCCAGGGACTTCATGGCTTTCAGGTAATAATCGATGCCCTGCAGAAGAACCACCAGCACCCTTTCAACAGAGGGATCTTATAACAGACACACATGCAAACATGGACCAAACATCGCATATAAAAAGGTGGCTACACGGAAGTCCAGAATCAAATAACTACAAGAACGGTGCCAGTGTTTAAGGTTCCTTGTTCTATGTGCTACTGCAAAGTCACTAGGAACACCTGAATGCTATCTATTTCAGAGCTTTTCAAATCTGGCCCTCGATTCCAAAACCAGGCCTAGTTTTCAGTTCTTCCAGGTAGTTGGTTTAATAATTACTGATTGATTGGCCAGAAGCTTCACATCTGGCTCACAGGTAAAGGAAGGCTGGAAAATCAGCAATACTTGGCCCTTAAGGACTATGATTTGAACAGCCCTGATCTATTGGAATGGCCCTTGAGAATACCTTGTTGTAGTACAGCGCCTCCTCTGGGGAGAATTCACCACGGCTAACATCTGTAGAGACGGCACAGTGAGCCTGAGCACAAATGCGCATCAGTCGGCCAGTGTTGCAGAGGAGAAGTGCCACGTTGGTGCTATCATCGATGGCTTCAAAGTCCTTTAAGCCCTTCTCGAAGAAGGAGAAGCTCTTCTTCCACATCTCCTGCTCGGCTGCTGACACGGACAGTTTCACTGTAGAGAGAAAGCATTCGCTGGATCACTATAGGACACTCAAGCCCAAGCATTTACCGGGAAACATTAACCAACAAACTGCCCACCTTCCTTCTCAGTCTGCATGGCCGCCGCCTGGTTCATGTAGAAGACGCCCATCTCATTGCGGATGTTGCCGAGCCTCTTAAGGACCTGGGCCAGTTGATTCGGGCGTTGAGTCTTCAGGTTGCTTGAGGTAAGAAGCTCAAATGCTGCCTCGTAGCACTTACAGCTGACAAACAGCTGATATTCCGGGTCCATGGCCAGATCCGTGGCCATATTAAAAGCTGAAAGAACAACAATAGAAAATCTAATGCCTGATGAAACCTCTTCCTCATGGTTCCAACTAGAAAGTAAAGTTGAAGAAGGCTACAATCAACAGCTGGGTGAACGGAGTTTCGCCCTCTATCTGAGGAGAACGCATTTGTGGACCTACTATGCAACAACACAAGTACGTCTTTCGGATGTATGTACTGAATACAATTTGAGTTGTGTGATCCGGTCAATCGGCAGCTCAATCAAAGCTAACTAGGAGGCCAGCCCAAGCAAAATCCAGCATGCAACAGACCATCAGAACCTGATAAGGGGCACCCAGACTACGCAGAACATGCATCCGGATGTCAAAACCTTGGCAGCTGCACTCGCGATGCAAGCTGTGCAGAATCTCCTGGTCCTCCTTGGTCTGATAGTTGTACTCCTCCAAATAAGCAGCACGGCTGCTGGCATTCTGAGCCAGCATCAGCTGGATGTCACCACACAGGGACAAGCACTGGCTGTGGAAGAGCAGCACCTCTGGATGTAAACTGCTGCTCACAGAGCAGTAGGCATCTATACAGTGGAAAAGACAGTTAGAATTCAAAGAGAAAACCACCGTAAAATGTACTGCCTGTTGTTGACATAACTCCTCTGAACATAAAATTAGAAGAGAGGCATATTTGACTTAAGCTGTGCACTCCAAGCAGGCCAGTGGTAAGAATGAAGATCCTACACTCAGTGCTAATAAAAATAAATGTTTTACACAGTTTGTCAAACTTTAAAAATGGTGGAATTGCTCTATGGCAATCCTTCAATCTAGGTACGGCACTTAATCTATGTAGTTACAATATGTGAGTTTAAACAGTTAGACAGTTGAAAGACTCCATAGCCTTTGATCTCCTCATCAATCTCTCCATGCTCCATTAATCACATGCCCAATGGGCTGAGCACCAGCTCACCGTGACACTGCAGGGCCAGTTTGATGTAGCGCAGGGCCCGGCCGTATTTCAGCAGGTTGGTGGCCGCTTCCGAAAGGACATAATAAGCCTTTGAGGCCTTCAGGAAAAGCTGGAGCTTCATTCGATGCTGCCAAGAGCCCGGAATCATGCCAGAACGTGTCGGGTGTTTGATGTCCTCCTGGTAAGGACCTGCAGCTCCCACGAAAAAGGACAAAAAGAGTTTCAATAAAAAGGAAAGAAACACAGAAAGGAAAGTAATGCCATATGCACGACCAGTGATGGATAGTTCATGTCCAGAACGCAAAAACCCAGGCCAAGATTTTGTTTCAACAAACCAGTTCAGTAACCGTGACTCTTTACACTCAACTGGTTAATTGAAACAAAATCCTGGCCTAGATTTTCACTTTCTGGACCTGAACTATCAACCTCTGTGTACTAATACCCTAAAAAGATTCATAATTCACTATCAAATCTTCACATTACTTTCGAAATGTTCCATAACTCTTGCTGTTATCGTAAGCTGCCTACATGTCAGTTCACTCCTTTTCTTATTTTTATACTATACAAAAAGGACACCAACAAACATTTATGAACTGTTGTCGTCTTCACCCGCCTTCAAAGGTAAAAATAGCTGAATTAATCTGCCTTTGGGAAAATGTTTGGCTCACCTCTATCCAGGAGAAGGGAGATCTCTTTTTCTACAGCATTCTGCCCTGTGCTGTCACTCCCCTCCTCATACTTCAGAGGAATAGGGGTATTTGGGTCGGCTGCAGGTAGATCACTCTCCTTCTTAATACTGCTGTCTACTGCTTTCAAGCCCTGTCCACACCCAATAAATAAATCAGATAGACAGACTGTAAATTTAGACTGTTAAATGATTTAAAGAGGCAGGGAGATCATCAGAAATGGGACACTAACCTTTAGCACATAGCTAAGAACATGGCGACATCGCTCTTCCTTGTCATGGGAGAATGGGAATGCATAGTTTGGCTGCAGAAGACATTTAGCACTTAGCATTGGATACATCCAGATTAGTAAATAAATGGGTCTACTAATTCTACTTAAAATTTGTAAATAATCAGATATTTTAAGATTTTAAATTACATAAGCTCCCTGGGTGCCCCAACAGGTGGCTGCCCTTCTCAGACAGCTTGTTCTACAAAGAGCAAGTTGAAGGAGGCGTAAAAAGAATTTCCCCATTGAGGGACGATAAAGGTTAAATTATTATTATTATTATTATTATTATTATTATTATTATTATTATTATTATTATATGCAAGATGTCAATTATCCTAGATTTTTTTGATTTTGGTTGATAATCCAAATGCAAATCGATTCAGTGTCCAACATAACATACTGTATTCCACCGTTCTGCTACAAAAGTCTCAATTCAGATAAAATCTATAACCCCTACTATATAATGGAAATTCTTCAAATTAGGAAGTTTAGAAACTGCATCACAGTTTTGCTTTTAGAAACATTCTTCTTATACAACTGATCGTGCCATTCATCTCATACAAAAATTCTAAAACATAGAATTTGTACAGTAATCGGATCACCAAATGCCGTCACAGTTAGTGATACAGCAAGGACTCACTTACTCGGATCTGGTCAGTGTACTTGTACTTCTCTGGAACTGAGAGTTCAACCACCGATTTAATCACAGCCACAGCCCTACTAATATCCGGCGGGTCGGAGCAGGTGCTATAGGAGCTATTCTCATCGCTGTCTTCCGGCAGTTCCTCTTCGTCCTCCTCTTCGCTGTAGCTGTCCTCCGAGCCACCTCCCCGAAACGACTCCGCACTGATCTCCTCAGGGGACTCGTCAAGTTGAAAAAGTTCAGATAGCATGTAGTTGGCAGAGGCAATGATCTGGGCAATGAAAATAAAAATACAGCTTAAGAAAGTCTATGCTGGTTTACGTTGACAAAAATTTATGAGTCTCAACTCAATCCTCAGATCCCCCAAGAGGATCCTAAAGCCTAATTCGAGTCACATGCCAAGTCATGAAATTCCTTACATTTTATGAAGAGAAAACCAGACCCACTTACCTGAGGATGTCTTCCCTGGTCCAACAATTTAATACAGTTCAGAAGGAGAGTTCTAATTGTACCATAGTGTTTCCTGTTCTGGTTCTTCTTCATCATGTTGCTGGCCACTCTGAAAGCAAAATAATTCACTCAGCCTCAAACACCACCAAAGACTGACCTCAACCAGTTCTTTCCAGAACATTGACACAAAAATACCTGCCGAACTTTATAGATCATAAGAGCAAAGAGCCATCTTACTACCTGGATAATCCAAACCATTTCTGAATAATTAAATATCTTGAATGGTCTCCATTGAAATAGGTATACAGAAGTAAGGTTGATAGATAATCAAATAATTCTACTATTTTAAAATGCAGAACTTAAACAGCCAAACTGGAGGGCAATGCAACTGACAATACCCAAAAGTAGACCGAAGTGCTCCACTTAAACAAAAGGGCATATACTGTAAGCCAGTAATGGTGAGCGCAGTATGGCTCAGCAGGTTAGGATGCCGAGCCTGTGATTGGAAGGTCACAATTCAAATCCAAGGCTCAGCTAGTTAGGATGCCGAGCCTGTGATTGGAAGGTCACAATTCAAATCCGAGGCTCAGCTAGTTAGGATGCCGAGCCTCTGATTGGAAGGTCGCAATTCAAATCTGAGGCTCTGAAGGTTAGGATGCCGAGCCTGTGATTGGAAGGTCGCAATTCAAATCCGAGGTTCTGCAGGTTAGGATGCCGAGCCTGTGATTGGAAGGTCGCAATTNAGGTTAGGATGCCGAGCCTGTGATTGGAAGGTCGCAATTCAAATCCGAGGTTCTGCAGGTTAGGATGCCGAGCCTGTGATTGGAAGGTCGCAATTCAAATCCGAGGCTCAGCTGTTTGGGCCCCTGAACAAGGCCCTTAACCCCAAGTTTCCTCAAAAAAATAGACATCACTTTGGCTAAAGGCATCTGACAAATAAATCAAATGTTATGATCAGTTAACTATTATTCTGGAAAAATGGGCAAGAGAGAGTAGCACAGCAGACTGACAATCCTCTGGGAGAGAAACCCAGAATGGCAGTGATGTAAATAAACTTACTTGTAAAGCAGAACAGCCACAGGCAGAGTAAAAGGGTTCTGGCATTTCTCCTCTGCCGCTTCCTCACACAATGTGGTGAGATCATACAGCTTCACAATGTCACTCCCACTGGCTGCAAAACACGGACAAACGTGGGCTTTTTACTTAACAATAAAATTAGTGTGAAATGATCTAAGGTGGTCTTCCTTGCATGGAGAGATTAAGAAGCAGTGCAGTAATTCCACATTCCATACAGTATATTCATAACTTTAAAAGTGAATACGTATATGGGCTAAACTTAATATTATGTTACATGGTACAAAATATTAAACAACAGCAATGGAGACGTAGGGCTTAAATATCCATTAAGAGTGGAATTATCAAGCGTTGTCAATCAACAAAACTAACGAGAGTTTTTAAGGATGGTTCTCCATGCAATAAATATTAGGTATATAAATTTTTTAGACGGCATCACATACCTTTAAAGAGCCAATATGTATGACCTTCTTTGGCACAATTGGATTTGAGAAATGAAAGAATGTTCTGGGCAATGTCTTTCACAACCCTGGTGGAAAATGTGGAGTTTTCCAGATGTGGGATGTCTTCGGTTTTTATCATCTCATATTTCTGTGTAGACGTACAACTTATGTACAGACATGCAACAGTGTCACACTTAATAATATGAACCTCAGGCTAAAAACGTACGCAACAGTCTTACCTGTACTATGCCGTTGACGTGAAAGCACATGACAAGTTCTGGGACATTACACATCAGATTGTCCAGCCAATAGTCTATACCAGTCAGAACATTAATTGGCTTATTGTTATCCCTGAGAAAGAAAGAAAAAAATCAGTATGCCAAAATCTACCAATCAAGTAATGTTCCAAAACTTTGCTACTGTTTCAATGACAGTATGAACAATCAGAGTTCCTGACCCAAATCATTGGCTTATACAGCAGGAGATACTGACCTGAGACGCAGGCTGACAGCTGGATATCGCCCCCCACCAAAGATAGGCATGTTTGACCCCACCAGCATATGAATGTCTTCAAATGTCCACAAAATGTTTCGGGCAAAGTCATTCCGCAGACCCTTGGAAGTGAAAGCAGCACTGAACACTGTTGTAAACATCACCCAAGCAGTGATACTGCAATCATGCAAATGCAATCAAATGCAGATTATGTCATACCTGACTGTTTTCCCCTTCATTAAAAAGTGTGGGAAGGTTCTGCTCTTTAGTAACAGAGGCCACATGACCCAAGGCATACTTGTTCTCCATAGAAACGTTCTCCTGAAAGAACAAGAAAAAGAACTGACACAGTAAGCAGGGGATTATTAATATATGTATTTGACCGTTCTTATGTTCTTGTGTACCCGTTTGGTGTCATCTTCCATTGCCAAAACACACTTCCAATATTCAGGAATAGAAGTACAGAGGACAGTAAAAATCCCTGTATGTTGTTCTTGCCCAGCCCCAAATATCAAGGATGCACTGGTTGCATCCGCACCAAATGAGACCAATCCCATGATTCATTGCATCCCATGTTTGTTCTTAGGAGGCAAGTTAGCAAGACCACTCTTGCCAAGAACATAAATATGATCTAGGTATTCTTGGTATTGAGAAACACCCAGGCTGTCACTCTGCAGGTTAGAATGAGTGATCAGAAGGTCGTCAGTTCAAATCCCATCTCTGGGATGGCAGTACCCCCCCAGGTGCTGCAGGAGTGCTGGACACTGGCCGACCCTGTGCAGTGACCCCCCAACTTGCTGTTACTGGTATGTCTCATGAAGAGCAAGATGGTATAGGGGACACAATTCTACAGAACCACCCAACAGCCAATAAGACATGACAGGAAGTGCTGGGTCCCAAATATACCTCTTTGGGAGTGGTGGGTGTCTCTGAATCAGAAGAGCTGGTGAAGGTTGCTGGCCAGGACGGTCCAGGTCCGCACTCCTTGACCTCCTCATCATGGCTGCCCGAGTGGGCCGGAACGGGCTCCGCAGTAGCATCGCCATTAATGCTGGAGGTAAACCAACAACCTCGTCACAGTCAATAAACTTGACAATATGCAGGACTACGGCTGCATCCCAGCAGGGCTATCTGGTGATACGAGAAAATCTTCAATGGCGCAGTAAACAATTCTTCTTGGATATCAGGATACACAATTCATGAAAATCAGCAGAACAGACTACACCTCTAACTGTACTAGGATTTTGATGCATGCAGGGGTATGACTAGCAAGTGATTTCTGTCCAAACTGTGAATCACGCACAATTCAATCAGTGGCCAATTTATGAGATGTACAAAGCAAACCATGTCACTACAACTCAATATATGCAACAAAGAGACCTAAGCATCCCATAGACAGAGAAAGGTCAGAGCGGAATGGCCAAACTCATTATAGCTAACAGTAACGGCACAATTGCAAAAAAAGAAAAAAAAACAGCCCAGTACATGCATGGTGCACAAAACAGCTTCTGAGAATACACAACCCTACATCATTAAGCAGTTTGGGAGGCAAAGGCAGGTCCTACCCAATACCAGCTAGGTGAACCTAATAAGATTTCTACAGAGTTAATCATAAAGCAGTTCAGCAATAATAGTAATAGATGTTAAGATTACTAAATAGCCAATCACCGGGAAGCTAAGGTACTGTATACTGTTAATAAGCACAAAACATTATGGCAACTGGACTGAAAGGTAAATAAAAAAATATATGTTATACCCTGATTTTTATACTAAAACCCTAGTTCCCTCTGTCCCCAGTTCTGGAAAATTACAGAAAGGGGGGGTGAAAATCGGAATGTGATCTCAAGCAGGTAGTATTACTTGACTTGTGCCAGTGCATAATTTAATCAACTGATAGAAAACTTACCTATAATACAGGAATTTGGACAAAATGGCCTTTTGGTACCAGTGCTCCTTACTCTTCTTTTTTCTTTCCCATTTTTGATCTACCAATCGCTGATAAAACTCCTTTAACCATGTCCAGTCACCTGTCTGTAATTAAAGGACAAAGTTACTGTAAGGAATTTATTAGTGATGGCAAAATGAACCTGCATGAACCAAAAATATTTTCTGACCCCACCAGATGGTGCTCTCTGTGCAAAAAAGGGTTCAACAAATGTCCCAAAGCAAACCAAGAGCGCCATCTAGTGGCGTCAAAAAATACAGCAAATGGTTCATGAAGCTTCATTTTGCCATCACTAGAATTTAATGAAGCTGACAATAAATGATTATTTGTCCCTTGATCCAGGAAAAAAAAAACCTGTTCTTAACATGTTTTTATATTAAGATCACTAACAGACAACTCAATACCAATATACAAGAATGAAACAAACCTGGGAGGATCTCATAAACAGCTCCTGAATGTCTAGCTCATCGAGAAGAAGTGTCCGTCCCACACGATGAACAGCCATACTGACATGGGATTTGCTGTATGGGATCTTCAACAGCTTCTTGATGTTCTGATAAATCAGGTGAGTAAATGCTTAATTCCAATGTAACCAGGGTATAAGCTGAGGTTTTAGCGAATTACTGCAATGTAATACATACCTCTGAGTCTGACACAACATCAACGTCGTTCCCAATGGAATCTATGAAATCGTACGCCATCCCAAAACTGCACGGAGACCAATAAAGCCAAAACAATTAATATTTTATGAAATGAGCATAATAATTGATAGAAATGCCAGGCTTTCATGGACAAATAAGATGCAATTCATGATTGAAGTCTGACGATGGTACCGTCCATATGAACCTACCTAGAGAAGGGCTTGTTCCTGCTGCTGGAGCCCAGCACAGTCGTGCCTGCAGGCCCCAGCTGTGAGCTCTCTCTCAGCCAGTTCGCAGGGGGCAGTTTCAGGTCCGTCTTCTCCTGCAGCAGCGCGTAGGTGGTCGGCGGCGGGGCAGCGGAGTATTTCACCACCGCCCGGCTCTTTATTTCGCTTCCCAAGCATATCACTGCCTCCTAAGCACAACACAGAAAAAAAAATGCAAAAATACCGAATCACATCACATTCTTTAAAATCATTTATAACTATTTAAACAAATGCAAGCGTACACGTTTCTAAAACAAAAAGTAGTGCTCATTGGACTTTAAAGATTTTAATAGAAGTATGTATCAGTTGCTTTATTATAGAAAATGTTATCATACTGCGCACTTCTTCTAATAACAGGAGTCTCAGTTGTACACTTTGTAGACTCGTGATCTATTACCCAAGACCTCATTTTTCATTTTCATTAATTTCCTTGCTTTATATGGAAAGCTACCCCTTACAGGTTTATCTATAGCGATCAAATACCACTAAAAGGATCGACTACTTATGAGGTCAGTATCCATTTCACACATTTCTAACTAACCAATTCGTTATTGTTGCACTATTACTATAGAAGACTAAAAGATCAACAACACAGGCACCGCAATAGATGTCTTTTGCAATGTTAGCCAGCTGATTTAAAAACAGCATTATTTTTGCTGTGTTTATTTATAATAATAATAATAATAATGCGATTCACATTAAAATAATATCAACTATCTTACCAACTAAGCCAGTCATGTGATAAATAAATGTGACAGCGATTGTCTTAGTAAAGCCGAACAAAATGCCTTAACTGGCTAGCTACCTGTCTTCCGTTCTCCAAAGTGTCAACTTCTTCACTTCCACACACCACTGAGACGGCCATTTGCGGTCTGTCCTCCGGCGCGCTCATCTCCAAGCCCTGCCAGCACAGCCCGGCTAGCCGCTACCGTGGCTAGCTATATAGGCTAAAGAAATTCCAGAGTTTTCCGTGGCAGGTTATTGGCCAGCTAGCAAGTTAGCATTCTTTATGATTTCCGCGATAAGCATGCTTCCAGCAAAGCTAAGCCAAGCGGCCAGCTAACGTTGAAGCACAAAGCAGACGGACCGGGTGCTCGAATAAAAATGACAAAGCTACAGATATATTTTAATAAATAGAAAAACTGCGAACCTGCTACTCATGTATAATTTCTATACATGACCCGGACGCACAAATGACGTCATCTTTCAGCGACGCAGAAAGGGCAATGTGGTTGAGTTGTCTAAATGCTGACCGCAGATCGGTTCATTTGTGCGCTGAAAGAATTTATTCGTCTTGTGTTGTCTGACCCAGAATCAGTACCTCATGGGATCTATGGGATCCTAAAAACACGGATTCCCCAATAATTGCGTATAAATGCCGAAATCTTTTGGTCAAAAACATGCGTGTAGATCCACTACCCACGATTGATCATATGTTTTCTGTCTGCTATTTAGGCTGAAACCTGTCATTTACAGATGTACTCTGAAACGTTGTTTTAGATTGCAGTAATGCAATAATATCCTAACCACGTATTTTTTGTGGCGTAGGCGTTGATTTATCTCCACAAAATTGCAGTTGTGTAATTTCACTTTATTGTCATCGTTATTTTACACATAACATCAATATCAAATAATGTTTGATATTGTAATGGAAGATGCAGATAAGGGTTATTAAGTGTTTGATCAGTATCTGCTGAAGTACTCTGACCAGGAAAGAACAGCGTTCCCATGGTTACACATAACTACATACAGGTCTGGTTTTTGTAGCTCTCGCTTGTTAGGTTCGTGCATATGTTTATGGTAAACTGAGAAACAGTGCATACTGTTTCAATTCGTAAACATCTTGGAAGAAAAGTTTTTTAAAATTAAAAATGATAAAAGGAGGTAAACGCTACTCAGGAATGGAAAATGCTGGCAAGTGGGTAAGAATTATAAGCACCCAAAACATTGGGGGGAAAGTATTATTATTATTATTATTATTGCTATTATTATTATTATTTATTGGTGTTGTTGTTGTTGATGATAATAATGTTAATAATGATGTTGATGTTTTGTTGTTGTCTATACATGTTTTTCCAAACCCGACTTTACAGTAAAGTCTATTTTTTACATTCAGTTTGCTCATATAGGCTTCTCACAAAATCCAAACGGGCAACTAACCAGAGATTCAGGATCCCTGTCAAGACAGTGTTTGCCTGTTATGCTGACACCTGACAGGGAACGATACCCCAAGACTTATAAAAAAAACAAAGATCAGGTATATCTGGGCATTTATTCAGATTTATTTACAGACACTCTTTGTAAAACCTTTCAGAGAGTGTGCTCTTTGATGTATATCGTCGTGTGACCCAGCACAAGGACAGCATGTGTTTTGCCTTGATTATTTCAGGCTTTGCTCACCAACGTCTTTGCATGGTGGTTCAATTGGTAGGATAGTCACCTAGTACTTCTGTGACCAGGGGTTTGAATCTGGCCTCTGCTGGGTGTGTGGAGTTTGCCTGTTCTGTTTACTACAGTTACAAGGCATGCAGTTTGTGTCTTTGGTTTCTCTATTGTAGTCCATGATTGTGTGGGTACCCCATAATGGGCTGGCATCTCCAGTGTGCATCCCAGTCCTGCGCAATGTAGGAAAGGCTCCCAGTGACCGTCTACCCCTGAGCTGCATAAGTGGTTGGAAGATGGATGGAACTGAGTTGGTTTTTCAATGTCTGGCTGAAACAAAGTCCACACAATCCTGAAATATATCATTAGCTCCTCAAAATATCTCATGTCTATTTAATTAAGCTTCATTTAAATCTAAATGGATATTATTGCCAGATCGCATAATTCCTATTTTCTGACTCATTATTTGCATTATCTTCATCTTATTATTTAACCAACCATTAGATGAGATCGAATATCTTAATTTTGTAAATATCTATTCTGCATTTGTAACCGTATATTCATATAATTAGTGGATTTAAAACCGGATGGCAGACCATCGCAGGGCACGTAGATGCACATTCATACACAGCAGGAAATTTCGTGGTGGTAATTAGGCTAATTGTTTCTGGAGGAAACCAGAGTACCTGCAGGAAACCTGCACAGCACGGAGAGAATATGCATACTGCACACACAGAGCAGAGGTGGGATTTAAAAGCAACTGTGCCACCCTAGATTCAATCACATAAAAAATAGACCCAAAAATATCTATCTAAAAAAAACAGAAAAGCAAGCAAATAAAAATCAGCTGCTTCTGCCATATGTTGTATTTCTATATCTACTTGAGGTATCAAGGACAGTACTAATCACGTCACATGCTTAGCAGTCAGCCCCTCCTGTGGCTTTGTGAAGAGTGGCATCCTGACCCATATTTTTCAGTTAACTGCGTTTTGAAGTGACTCACGAAACAAACTTTGTTATGCTTATCTTAAAATTGGATTAAAAACACTTTTTATAAACCTCTGCAAATCACTCACAGAAAAAGCTCAATTTTTTCTAAATATTTGTCGTGTGACTTACATAAAGTCTGTGATATTGTTTCTATATTTTTTGTGTGCCTAGCATGTAAAAATAATATTAATTGTTGTTGTGATTGTTAAAAGTTACGCTAAGACATTTTCTCTTTTAGAAAACAGGAGATATAAGTTATTTGTTCTCAATCCATGACAATCGAGATGCGCTACGTTACAGCATTGAAACATATGATAATGTAAGTATTGACAATTAATGAAAATAAAATTGCTAATTTCTTTCAGCTTTTCAATTGTGATTATGTCAAGTATGCAGTAAAACTCTACATAAAAATCTACTGCTAAAACTGCATATACTGTAGGCCGTTTCTGCTCCTCTGAAGCATTTGTTGGTACATCAGCAGTTAAATTCTTCATTTTGATCTATCACAATCTTTCCAAAGGTATTAGGTCGCAAAAAATTTCTGGACGAAAGGAGACAGCATAACTCACACTTCACCTTTGGGGACCGTGAGCTTGACTACCCCTGTAAACCGAGCATTGGTCTGGCAACATATTCCTCAGACTGCCGGGGCAATCAGGAGACTGAAACCGCAAACAGGCGACGTTTCCCCCGGAACCACCTGGAGAGATCGAATGCTATGTCTGCCCAGACTGGGGGAAACTTAATGTGGTTTGGAAGGCATGATTCAAAAGAGAGGATTCCCCTCAGTCTCCTTGGTGCCACTAACAAACAGTCTCTTGGGCACTAATTCCTGGCAGCATAATAAACACTGATTGAGTGACTTGAAAGATTTGTTGACGGATAACACATAGATAATTACTCTAATAAGGTAGAGACATGAGCATAAAAAGAATCTTTGTTTATAATTGTGGAGCAGTCAAGATGATGTCCTTGATGTAGATCACTAAAGGATCAGCCTATAATTGTAATTATAATGATCTCATAATAAATATATTTCAAATATGCTTCTTTCACATAAAGTTATTCAACTAATTCATACTCAGAGAGTCATTTTAGAGGAAATGTTTTCAAAGCAATTGATATGTTCATTATTTGTTTTTAAATATAGGATTTGAGAAGCTCTATCAGATAACTCGGATTATTGACAGCATATGCAAAAACATTTAAATGAGTTTTCTAATGAATCTTTCACTGTCATTTCTGCGTATGTTCTTGGGAAAAGCTGCCATTTATGGTACAATTTGAATGGCTACACTGCTTACCATATTATTCACAATTTTATTAGGTACTTCCAAAATGGATACAGAGATCTATCGGCATAATGACTCTGCTACTAAATTTGAATATCCTGAAGTTGACTATTATTACCTAAATGTACCTCAATCTTGTATTGGTGGAATAAAGCTTTCAGTGTCTAATGGTATTAACTTTCGCTCACAGGCACAAACTTTATGCTGCTGTTACTGGTTTAGATTTGTAATGCATGCAAAATGTATTTTGTATAACTAGCAATTGATAAGACTAAATAAATTATCTTTATTAATTTACTACTGAATTACTATTCCCAGAGTCAGGGGCGCCATAAGGCGGGGAAAAGTTAGGGCAATTCCAGGGGCCCCTGAGTGACGGGGGGCCTAGAAAATTTGGAAAATAACTGGATTGGTCTGAACTGGGGGGCCCAGTATGATATGCCTGCACGGGGCCCAAAATCTCTAGTAACGCCCAGAGCTGAAGCAGAATGCATGTGTCAACATCACATGGAGCAGTAGATGTTTTTCAATATTGGACATATTGCTACACACAACACATAAGAAGCACATACAGGTGATGGTACACATTCTGACAGCACATTAATACAAATTATCAGGTGAATCAAGTTGTAGGAAATGTGCATCCCATCAATACATTTTAAAAGCACAGAGTGAAAGTGATGAGATTTCTGCCAGGTTTTTTTCTCTCTCAATTATATGTGCACAAATAGTACACAATAAAGAATTTATTATTATTTATTTAGTTGGTCTCTTTACTTCTCATCAATATTCAGATTTTACCTGTACGCTCGCTTTCCATTGTCTTTTGATGTTTGTTTCTTAATAATTTATGAAGTACAACATTTAAAATTGATGAGCGATGAAACACAGCTGCAGCTTGGGCTTTCAGAAAGGTCATCCCACGGAGCTTCGAAAGCTGGTGATTCTTAATTTATCTGACAAGTCAAATATTTAAGAGGATGTTTTTCACTCCGCCGCTGCCGCTGAGCTACGGGCCACAAATTAAATTCACAGCAGGGAAAGACATCCCCATTAAAAGGGCCGTGAATAGAGCGGAGAACTTCATCTTTCTTATCCATGTAATACTGTTTCAATGTGTCCATCAAGGGGAAAAGGCATTCGTAAATGAGGTTTTAGGGAATAGAGCACAGTGGGGTTGAGTTACTGTGTCTGCCAGAAATTTCATCTTACATTTATTTGGGCAACATTTTTATTCAAAGCAGCATGCCAGTGAGGCTCAGACTGTGTGCTTGGAGCAGCTGAGGTTCAGGGCTTTGCTCAAGGCTCTACTGATACCTTTCAATCACAGGATTTGAACCTACAACCTTCTGGTTAAACCACAGAGCCACCCATGCAGTGTTTAGTTCTGCATGGCATATTGTAAATGAACATTGGGGTGTTATTGCTAGTACATAGATAGCAGTGTGATAGAGAAGGTCTGCAAAAATCACATAATGTTAAAAACATGCACATGCTCTTTAAGGCTGTTGCCTAAAATTTATTAATGTTGTGAAATGCTGCAGTGCATGTTATACCCATATAGCAATCTAATAAAATTGTACTTTTAATGAAGATTTACAGATTATTTTGGTAAGAATTACCAAGGATGGCCTACAATCTGTACATTTTTAATGTTAAATAAAACAAGAGCTTTTGCTGATTAACTGCTCCAAGATGTCAGATTACACTGGCTGTCAGTGACTGGCTGCTGTGCAGACAATACTGCATATAACTGCATTTCACTGCCTCATCCTAAGACCTCAATTGGCTGTAAAAATTCACAGACACTCATTACCAAACACATAAATATCACCCTAGTGCGTTTCATACCCTCTTTTCTGGGTAGATTTCTGTTTTCCTATTTCAGTTTTAATACTTTTTTCATGGCCTGAACAACTATACTTTAGGTAATGATGTTGTCTCTGGTATTGTTTTGTTATTAATTAATGTGCTTCCTGCACCGTGGGCAATAAAAAATATTTTAGAAATTGTGAATTGAGTGTAAACAGCTTTTCATTCTTCACTGTTTGAAAACAGGGTTACCAGAATATTTTAAAACATTAAAATAATACTTATTATAAGTATTAAGATGCAGACCCATCTAAATATCTAAAGATCCATCTACATATGAAATAACGAGATACTGATGCTCACTCATAGGAAGTCGTAGGTTGTGTCATTTTACATTTTCACCAGCAGAGGGCAAACAAAAATTACGTGGTGGGGGGGGGGGGGGGGGGATGTAAGTACTGTTCCATTGAAGATGCTGTTGCTTGTGTGACGCAACTGGTCCAGGGGAGGGAAAGAGATGCTACATAAATGCACATTATTATACAGCTCATCTAGCTAAGATGATTCTGTACCCATACAGAACACAAGCACTGTTGTGCAAAGGCCAGTGAAATTAATTAAGGATTATTTATGTGTGCCAATTGTGAGATACAATGGAGTTATGTAAACGCAACATGCACAGCGCTTGGTTCTGGTACGCTTTGCTGTCCTTTGTTTATTCAATAAATAATATTTCCGTGTCGTCACTGGAGCATGATTGGAATTACAAAGTGAAGGACAAAGAATCTTTTCACCAGCCATTTCAATGCAAATTCCCTGACATTATCCAGCCTGTTATTTGCGTGGTGCTCACTGTGTATTCAGATTTGGATGCAGTCATACCGTCTGCGTGCTGCAACTTCTCCCATAAAGTTGGCGGCCCAGTTTCCCTAAGATGTTCCCCTTTGCTTTTTTTTGGTAGAACTTCTGACATCTTCTTTTTTTTAATTTCACCATCTGTTTGTTTGTTTTTCCACCTATGCAGACCTTCCCTTAGACTTGTACAAATTGTCATTGCTCTCATAAGTTTATTCGCTGATGATCAGGTACACGGTTTCTAATGCATTTTCAGCTCCAAGAGCATGTCCTGTAGCAGCATGCACAGCAGAAACGCGACCAGATGGCAATCATTTTATGCTCCGGTTAACCTGAGGGTCCTGCAGGTCATTACGTAACGTTCTACCGACTGCCAGTAGCAATTCTTTATGCCCATTGAGAACTAATACATCTCTCACATTAGGACTATGGTATGAAAGTTGTTTACAGCTATTCAGCAATATAACCGCCATCTGTGAGGCAAAGCCTGTGGCGTTATTTGCTCGTCCGGAGCCAGAACCAGGAGGGAGGAATGAAGTTCATCCAAAAACAGAGCCGCTCGCTGGATCAGATCACCTCTGACCATTAGTGCAGGGAGCTACATTGTTTCTCCATCCCTATTCACATAAGAGAGTTTTTGGGGGAAACCTTTGCTGATGTGGCAAAGTAACAAAAAAAGAACAGAAAATGTGGCAACTCTTTAATAAATGTTAACAATTGGGTGCGTTCTGCTTGCATTGGGCTAGTATGGCACAATCAAAAACACAATACGTAACAGCAGTACAGTCAGATGCAAAACCTCTATATACACACAACGTTATAACGTGAAAATGTCTGTGATGTCAAAACTATTTCTGCTGCAGTTGAAGTATCTGAAGGCTTATTAAACAGACTTGTTTACAGAGGTATAAATCAAGCATCCTTTCCTTATGCCCCTGGTATAAAATGTTTGGATGGTGAAAAAAAAATTAATTAAAAACTAACTGTGCTCTTCCTTCTCAGGGAGTAACTCACAATTCATATTCAAATCAGTTTTTTTTTTCTAGCAGGTATTCACCCATGAGTAGACAGTGCTTAGAGTCACGGAGAAGCAAACTGGATTACGTTTCTATGGTGGGTACTTTTATGTGCATTATCCAGATTCAAAATAACGACGTTCATTTTGTTTATACCAGTGTTCACCCAGCAAAACAAATTTAACGAGGGTAACTGCAAAATGCATAAGAGGAATATTTACATATGACTGGATCTGCTTTCATTTTTTTTCCCCAGAAGTTGCGCTTCTGTTCCATTTCCCTTATAAATTGCATGCATTTATTGAAATATTTCATGAATATATAAAAACTGTTAGATTTTACTAATTTGTTTGGCTTAATTGGATTTTGCATAACTTTGAGGAGATTACAACAGCTGATTGATCATTAATGCTTGTGTGGGGGTAGCAATGTTGCATAACACCTTTGGGGTTGGGGGTTTGAATCGCACCGCAATTCTGTGTGCATTGAGTTTGCTTATTCTCACCGTATCACGTGGGTTTCATGCCACAGTGAGCAGAGACATGCAGCTAGGCTAACTGGCAGTTCTAGATTTCCCATAGTGTGTATATGCCCTGTGATGAACTGGCATCTCGTTCAGGCCGCATGCCAGCCTTATGCCCTATGCTGCCTGGCACAGGCTCCAGGCCGTCCTGTGATTCTGACCAAGTGCTTAAAAGATGGGTGGATGAATGAATTCTTGTATTATTCTGGAATATTTACACTATTTGTGTCTGTACCATCTTAAAGTAAAATCTACGGAGTACTACAATTGTATCCAGACGGGGAAAATACACTTTGTCGCACATAAACATTGCACATGCTCATGGTGAATGCCAGAGATCTGGGAGTTTGTAAACCGAATTCTACTTCCGTCTCCACCAATGACTGATTGACATGTAACTCATGCTGAGGAAACTTGGCTAACAGGTCAAGAGCAGAAAAGCTGAAGCGCATCTGTAACACCGTGAAACCCGTGTGGCTGATAGCGGCGAGTGATGCCATGTGCATGGAATTGTGGGAAACGGCATAGAGACCAATGGCAGGCAGAATAGTGCTATAGCTACAGTTAAACAGAGTCCTGATTAATTACAAGCTAAATTAATTACCAACATGATTCTGCCACATTTGGCCATGCTATTGCACTAACAATAAAGAATTTTGAAGTTCTTATGTGTTATTCGGAATATTACAATTGTGGTAGAAGTACGGTTAACTTTGTATAGATGGTGTTTGTCTACCTTGTGGCTTTCTTTATTATTGTTATTAGCCCAGATATCTTCTACATATCTACCCAGCAGTGGGTCAAGGGGTGACCTAGAGGCCATAAAAAAGCGCATCATAGATAGAATGCAAGTCTATCACAGGGAAATGTCATATATGAATTGAGGTGGGAAGCCTATACAGCAGAAGGAGAACATCCACACGTGCATGCAAAAGGCACTGCCCACATATTACCCAGTCCTCCTGCTTCCAAGTTGTAGACAGGAAAGACTGAAAGTAATTATTTACCATCCATGCATTTCAGACCTTTCAAATGACTGAAGCCGTATATGTCTTCTCTCCCCGCCCAGGAAGTTGTGCAGGACAGC